TTATTGCCTGCTTATTTGTTGTTTGTCTGTTTGCTTTGAAGACAGTGTTTCCATCTGCAGCTCAAGATGGTCTTGAACTTAAAAATCTTCCTGTTTCTGGCTTCCCAGGTCAGGAAAAACAAGCCAGTACCAAGGCATCCTGCCTCATGTACCTTTAGGAACCAGAATACTTGACAAAGGACACAGAGTCTGTATTCTTCCCCTTACTAAAGCAGAAATTAAATTTAATTATCTTTCTCCCTGAAGTCATCCGAACTGACGCAGTGGCACAACACACAACAAAGGACACTCTTGGTTATCTCCGAGTGATGCTTAAGAATTTGACATTAGTCGATACGGAAATTCAGTCACCGAAGACATTTCTGCCTTCAGATTGTGTCAGAGTGACTTCATTAAGTGAGCTTTCACAATGCCTCTCCCGTAAAGCTGCCATCTCCTGTAAGAGTTGTATTAAAGGTCTCTAACGAGGAAGCCTGGCATTAATGGTACTTGATTCTGGCCTTGTCATTTTGTTGATGAGAAAGAGAAGATGATGGCGTGTCTCCAGTTACTGCAGTCCTTTTAGAACTCTGATTGAATACATCTTTAAGGACAGTGTGTCCTGGGGAAGGAAAACTGAGGGACATAGTTTCCTTGAATGGCAGTCCAGGTTGCACAGTGAAGAGAGAAGCGAGGGATGCCACGTCTCATGCCCCACCCCTGCTCTCTGCTCTCCTTCCTATCTTTTGCTTTCCTTCTCTGCACTTCCTCCCTCCTGCGTCTATGCTTTCTGCATTATGTGGTCACCATTCTTATTAACCCATGTTATTCTAGTTTCCAGACTCACCAATCGTGAATTCTACACTTGTTTCATTGACACCATTTATGAATAATTGGCTTTTTTATGTCTGAGTTTTCTATATAGATCTATAATAGAAACCCAACACCAATTACAAAGAGAGAAAAATCTATGAAAAGCAGACAAGACAGGCCTTGACATCAGGTGAAGACCTCCTCAAATCTCAGTTTCCACACCCACCTCACCCCTCCAATGGCCATTTGTTCTCTTTCCCTGGCATCCACAAGACAACATGCTTCCCATGCCACACTCAACACATGTACCCATTTGGCATCTGAGGACTAGAGGCTGCGAATACAGAATTCAGGGATCTTGGAAAGATATTCTAGCAAGCAGAGTACCTATTTTGATGTTCATTTCATAAGCACTAAGAGGTTCAAAAAAAAGTGTGGGATCCCTGTGGTCCACCTTCCCTCTATCCCAAGTGGAGTCTTTCCTAGGTGCTCACTAGAAAGGGGTATTGAAGGTTTTTTTTTCTTTAGCTGAGAACATTTCTTTAGAATGTTTTCCACAGACAAACTTGGCCTTCTTACCACTTTTTCAACATGAAGACAGTTCAGAAAAACAAAAAGCAAAAGTAGGTGAAATACAAAATTAATCCAATGGTCTTGGAGGGTTAACTAAAGCCATTAAATTTGTCATTCTGGGTCTAAATATTGAAATGAAACTTTAGTGATTCTGTGAAGTTTTACCAGTAGACAAATCCAGACTAAAGATACAGTAAAGAGTTTGTTTGATGAACGTGAGAAACTTCTCACACCTGGCTTTTATATGAGTCCATCCCCATCCTTGACAACATGAAGGGAAGTAGTTACACACATGCTTAGCCCATCAAGGCCCAGGGAAAGCAGATGGCTATGTAACTCTTTGATTAAACCATTAAGGCTCAATTAGATGGGCTTGGCACAGACATCTGTTGCTTGCTTAATCCCAGTGGATATATGAGCTATGTGTCCCCTGTCCTCCTTGGGAGTTTATTCCAAATGTCTGCAGAGTGAGGGCTGGGTAAGTTAAGGCTATGAAGACAGACAGTATCTGGCCCCACCCCTCATCTGCCATGTGTTGGAGTGGGTGAGGGAGAAATGTGTTCCTCCCCCACTCGCCCCTCACTGCTCATGGCAGGTGGGAAAGCTGGTCCTGCCCCTCACTAACTGCCGCACTCAGGAGATTGGGCCCTGCCTCTCACCCAGGCAACAGAGTAGAGCTGACCCTGTTTTGAGGGGCGCAGGAGAGCTCTCTCTGAGAACAGGAAAGCTGACCCTGCCTCCTTCCCCATGCACTATGTGGTGGCATGGGTGAGGTGGCGTGGGGTAGAGGAAAGGGGGAGACAATGCTTGGGGAGTAGATTACGAAATCTTGATATATTGTTCACGATGAAAGAGCTCCCTCCTTAACCTTGTAAAATTAAAATGAAGATAGCATCCAGACACCTACATTAATCTTTGGTGCTTTCTTTAAAAAAAAAAAAATCAGACTTACATTTTCCCCTACAAGTGCTAATGGATTTGTATTATTGTGGCAGAGTTGTTAAAATTGAGAGCATGAGCCCAATACATTTTTCAGTATGCCTGGTATTCAGAGCCACTGACCTCAGCACTTATCTACCGTATATTACGGGAGGTTTTAAACACCTTCAGGTTACCAGGTTCTTGTCACTCATTTTCTGAACAAGTCAGTCTGGATGCCATCTTAGAATGGGGTCAGAGTCTCCCCAGAGGTTAAGTGTAAAGAGAGTGCATAGTGTTAATAGTAGTGAAAATTCCCTTAATGACGCTGTAATTCAGCCCTCCAGCATAGAGCTCAGGAATGTGAGTGTTCTCCCATGTTCATCCCAGTCCAGAGTGTGGCTGGCACGGAGCACACAGCTCTTATTTTATTTACGAGCCACCAGGCATATGCAGACAGTGATATAGGACAAAATAAAGTCCTGTCTTCATGCAAATTGCATTCCAGGTAAGGAGGCAGAAAATAATTATACGAACAAGTAGATAAAATTATGTTGGATAGTTTTATAGACTGTGAAGACAAATGAGGCGGCAGACGAGAGCAACAGTGCCAAGAAAAGACGCTACATACCGCAGAGCTCGGGAAAGGCAGGCAGGAAGGGAGCAGAAATGTGTGTAAGGTCGATGCTTGGGTACAGAATGAGGAAGCATTGCTGGATGGAGGGGAGATGGAAGAGCTGGTCAGGTCCAGACAATGTGACCTCACAGGCCCGTGTACAAATCAGATGTCACTCTGAGGAAGCTAGGAATCAGCTGCAGACAGAGTTCAGACAAGGGAGCAAGAGGACAGAAGGATCCTTTGCTAACCAGAGACTAGTGAAGAAAGGTAGAGATAGGTTTGGATGAGGAGGCAGAGACAAGGCAGTATTCTCTCCACTAAAAGACGAGGGTGGCTTTCCCCTCACAGTGATGGCCACAGTGGTGAGAGCTGATGGAATTCTCCACTCACCAGGTGTTCTTCATTACTTTCTGATGCTCTGATAAAGCATTGACCCAAAACAACTTAGGGCAAGAGATGGTTTATCTGGCTTACACTTCTGGAGTTGAGTTTTATTCGGGGTGATGACTATGGATCTAGAAAAATTATTTCTTGAATTGTCATCATTTTCCTATCTGTGGTAAATATATTTTTAACATCTTCCCAGAAAAAGTCATGTAATGAGGTCCTTTGTTTGTTCTTTTAACCTAGTAAAATTACATATACAAAAAATTATCAAGCAAAAATTATAGTTACAATATTTAGTTCATTTATATTTGACAAATTAAGGAAAATACTCTATCATCTACTCTATTTTTGTGAGTCTAAAGTTTTATAGCTAATTTCTCTTTTATGATAACTAAGGAAAACTATAACTGTCTGTCTTCAAATCCATCAAAGATCCGCAGAAGGATATAAAATTACCTAAGTAAACAGGAAGTGCATTATAACTTCGAAAACTCTAGAACTGGCAGATACATCTTGCTGCCTGAACAGTCACCCAAAGTTCTTCTGTAACATAGGAGCATCCATCTTCAGTCTAGAGGCCCATAGTATCTGGCAGACTTTTCATGAAGCAAGAAATTTGGAGATCTGTTCTGCCTTTTACTGGCAAAGTTGGTTAGTTGTTTTCTTCTGTGATTCAGGAACACTCAAGGACACTTTTGTCTTTTGACAAGTTCAGCAGTACTGTTCTGGGGGTCCTGCATGTCCAGTTTATACAGCATACAGTCAAGCAGTCCAGACAAGAGCAGTTTCTCACCCAAATGGGTAGCAAACTTTTTAAGTAGCCTCTTCAATGTCCATCATCCTCTTAAAGTAGATTGGTGACACCAGAAATAGACATGTCTCACTGTCAAGAAAAGCTTAAGTTCTTGTATATATATATGTTCAGATTCCCCACCTGGATTTATTCTGGTAAGCTATTGGCCAAAATGGCTTTATTCATCAACCAATAAAAGTCTCACATATTTGCAGCATACGGAAGGATATCCCACATCACAAAATTATTTATTGAAACATTTGTCATTTTTCCATGGTGCGTTTTAAGCATCTTCATCAAAATTCATTGATTGTAAATACATGGATTATTTCTGATCTTGGCAGGAATATATGGAAAAAACTCACAGATTATTGTTGCAAACATAAGTCAATTCAGTCATTATGGAGAAAAATATGGAAATTTCTCAAAAATTGAAAATAAAAATACTGCATGAGTCAGCAATCCTACATCTTGGAATTTATCCAAATGAATTGAAACCAGTGTCAAAATCTCTGTGCTCTCATTCTGTTATTGCAACACAATTGCTAAGAGCCAGCACGTGGAATCAGTCCAAGTAGCAATCAGTAAATGAATGGATACACAAACTTCAGTATATATGAAAATTGAAAAGCACTTCATCCTTAAACACATGAAATCCTGTCACTTGTAACAATACCCTGCAGGGTGTTATGCTAACTGTAAAAGTCAGGCACGGGAATACAAATACGTGGTGGTCTAACAAATGGCGTGTTGGGCAAGGTTCTCTAGAAGAATGGAATTGATTGAATGTGTGTATATCATAAAAGAGGATTGACTAGAAGGGCTTACAGCTAACTGATAGGGACTTGGCAGTGCAACAATGGCCATCGGCTTTCTGGGCAAGGTTGAGAGGCCAGCAGTAGTTCAGTCCACAAAGTTGAATGCCTCATCAGTCCAAATTCAATTCAGAGGGCCTAGAAGATTCCTGGAAAACTGCTGGACTTAGGTCTGTGTTGGACAGCTGCAGAAGCTAAAGTCTGAAGTCAGCACAGAGCAGACATGTTCACAGCAAGAACTGACGACAGGTGGGTAAGTACACAGTTTCTTCCTCAAGCCCCTTTTACCTGGGCCACCTGCCAGAAGGTGCCATCTACTGTGGGAGGGTCTCCTCAGTCATCTGGCCTTCCTATAAATACCCTCACAGAGCCACCTAGAGGTGTGTCTCTTCATTGATTTGAGATCATGTCAAGTTGGCAATCAAGACTAATATAAGTTAAAGCTTTAAAAAGTCAAACTCACAAAAGCAGAAATTAGAATAGAAATTGCTAGAAGCAAAGGAAGTAAAACAGAAAATGTGGAATTCAATAGGAAGAAAAACAGAAAATGTGGAGTTCAATAGGAAAACTGTTTGTCTTATGAAGCAGGAATACATTTTTAAGGTTTATTGTTTAATTGAGTGTCTACAGTTAACAATAATTTGTATTTCTAAAAATCTAAGAGTAACTATCAAATAGCACGTGACAGACAAGTAAATGAAAGATGTATAACATTAATTTATTTGATTTAATCTCTCATATTTTTATACCTATATCAAAAACCCACATTGTACTTCTGTTTTAGTGTGCTATTGCTATGAGGAGATATAATGACCACAGCAACTCTTATTAAACAAAACATTTAATCAGGGCTTGCTTACAGTTTCAGAGGTTTATTCCATTACCTCATGGCTGGAAGGATGTTGGCATGCAAGCAGACATGGTGCTAGAGAAATAGCTAAGCGTCCTACATCTCAATCCATAGACAGCAAGAAGAGCTAGAGCCATTGGGCCTGGCTTGGGCTCTTGAAATCTCAAAGTCCAGGTGCAGTGACACACCTCTTCCAATTAGACCACACTTACCCCAACAAGGCCACACCTCCCAATCCTTTTAAATAATGCCATTCCATGATGACTAAACATTTAAATATATGAGCCTATGATGGCCATTATGATCCAAATCACCACGCACTCCATAAATACATCTAATTATCATTTGCACATTATATAAAGCTTTTAAAATTAATTTATTTTGATAACACCAAGAAAAGATTGTATTTTCCAAATAGGAAAAATGCTATCAGGAGAGTTAAAAAGGGATTTGAGATATTATACTAGTCCTGTGGAAAATATTGGTTACCTTGATAATGAGACACGAGGGTAAAAAATATCTAAGCTCAATGAAATAATTTTGCAAGAATATGGAAGCAAACTGGGTTTGCACACCTTTAATCCCAGCACTCGGGAGGCAGAGACAGGCAGATGTCTATGAGTTCTAGGCCAGCCTGGTCTACACTGATTTCGAGGACAGCTGAGGCTACCCAGAAAATTTCAAACAATAGGTTTACTAGTTAATTGAGAAAGCAAAACAGAGAGAATGGGGTCAACGGGATTGGAGATTATATATGAGCATGATGACCACAGTGATTCTGGATCTGGGGAGGGCTAGTGGTGTAGGAAAACTGTGGGTTAGTGTGATATCCTCAAACAGTGGGAAATGGGAAGGACCTGCTACTCAGTAAGACACAATATGTGAATGCTTAAAGAAGATACAGGGAGAACAGACAGCTCATGTGCAGGTAAAGGCTGCCATGGCTAAGTAATGGAAGCTTGCAGCCATTTTTTTCTTTCTTTTCTGATTCATCTGGGTTCATAGGAGCAAGTGGATCTTCTTAAACGAAGGAGAGAAAGAAAAGTAGCTGGAACTTTGGAGGATGAGTGGGGAATAATTTACTAGGACAACGAGACCGCCACAGACTTGGAAAGTACATTCAGGTTGCTCAGCAGCACTGAGGCCCCACTATGGCAGTGTCAAGCCCTTCCTGCTCGGCCTCCCAATGATCACCCAATAACCATCACTGGCTGCCTGTCAGGGATTGGATTGTACACGAAACACAGATCCGGGGTTCTTTTATCATTACTGCTTTTCCATTTATTTTTCACAAGCTGCTGAGTTTGAGAAGCTAAATGTCCATATGAGATAAAGGTGGTGACTCACACCTGTATCTCCAGAGACTGAGAGGCAGTACTGCTACAAGCTAGAGGCTATCCTGGGCTACATAGTAAGCCAATTTCAGCTATTGAGTGTGACTCTATCTCAAAGAACAAGTGAATTAATGTTTGAATGAAAGAACTAGCAAATGGTATCCTTCCCCTTTAATACTATGATTCATTCATCTTTCCAAGAATCATGGTTCTTGACCCGCACACATTCTGTTGTTCTCTCTGATTCTTTGCTCTCGGCAGCCTGCTTACACAGATGAGTGGAACACTGAGCCATTTGTCCTTCAGATGGGGACAGACATTTGTTGAAGAAAATAAATAATAGAGGGCTCGGATGTAGCTCAGGAGTGGAGAACCCGCTTAGTATTCACTGGGTCCTAGATTCCACACCCAGTGCTGGGAAAAACCGGTAAGTTGAATTTCCTAGTAGTAGGCAACATTTGCCCCACCTGTTTTATTTAATCACAAGCAAGAACACCATGACAGACTTGGTCTTCAGACTTTCACCTCTTGGTAATAGTTTGCCTAATGTCTTTCCATTTTGTAAGGTCCAGCTTCTTTTCAATGGTTTATATCTCAACAACTGAATGGTCACAACAGCAGGATTCTCTAAAGGATTGAAACCATTAAATTGGAACAGGAATGAGTCATTACACCACGAAATTATCAGAAATACTGCCTGACACCCTGGAAGTTGGCATTCCTTTTCTAAAGACAGACGGTAGGGCAAGCCTTGAAGATGTTAACCTTAGAAAAAATGAGATCCTAGCAGGCCTAAAGCATGTGCAGGTACACTAGGGTCATTGTGAGATTGGCAATGTAGCTCAGTCCAAGAAGATGCAGTGAGAGCAATTCATAACAGACCTCACTTTGAGAATAGCTCTAAGCAGAAGCCACAATGATAAGATGAATCGAAGACTTTTGTGGTTTGCTCTTATAGGCATTCAAACCTCTGAGGGAGATTCATTATTCTATCTTCCTTCCTGTACAAATAGGAAGGAACTAAAGAACCATCGTGATTTAATTGCTCATTAAAACTCTTCTCCCTCCCTTCCTCCAAGTCTGGTTCCAGGGTCTTATCCTCAACTCTGTAGAAGAACACCTACTAAAGCTTCCTCTTTCTCTCAGACTCCCATCTCCAATGGGTCACATGGACTTTCTCCCCCAACCTTCCTTCCTCCAACTTATTCCATTATCCCATGCTCCAACATCAGCAGGCATTCCCTGAGAACAAAACTATGTAAAAGCCATGTGGGGGAAATGGTTGCATCTGTTTCAGCGGCTACAAAGATTAAAAAAAAAATGAAAAGAAATAAAAACAACCTCAAATGAAATCTTTCCTGGGTATGGGCACATGCACATGGATGGCAGCATTCAGGAGTCAGAGACAGGTGGATCTTAGTGAGTGCCAGACCAACCACAGCTGCATAACAAAACCCTGTCTCAAAAATATACCCCAAACAAAAACACGAAATAATAATTTTTGAGCTTTGTATGTGAGTTTTGGTAAATTATTATCCTTAACGCTTGGATTTTATTTGTTTCAGATTTTGTATATATGGAAAAATAATTTCAAAAACTTGTTTGAAACAAATAATTTCTAAAGTTCCTTTAAATCATAGAATAGGCCTGGCCTTCCAGGCCAGAGAAACAGATAGGCTAACTGCAGGTCACACCTCTTCCTCCTGTCCTCCAAATCCAATCCCTAGTCCCTTCTCCAGTTCTGTAACAGAATACCTATTGCGGCCTCGCCTCCCTTCCTGCCCTCATCGCCAATGAATCATCCAGACCTTCCCCGCCCCCCCTTCCCAACATTTCTCCCCCACACTTAGGGCTTACTTTCAGTCCCCAGCTCCAGCAAGCATTCCCTGGAAATCGAAAGGACACTGGTGCTAGGGAAACTTGTAGACTAATGTGGTAGCATTTCAATTGTATTTTAATAATTAAAGACTGCCTGAAGATCGGAGAGTAAAACAGTCCCACTGGTTAGCCTTATAGATGAGGTTATGGTAAAACACACCTTTAATCCCAGTAGCCACACTAGTTGCCTTAGAAACTGGGTGGTGCATGCCTTTAATGATGGTGGTGTATACCTTTAGCCCCAGCCCTAGAGAAGATTATAAAGTGGGCGAAAACAGCTCTCAACAGACAGGCTCATTCTGAGATTCCAGGAGGAAGGATCGCCATTTCAAACTGAGCTTGAGGTAAGAGCCAGTGGCTGCCTGTTTTGCTTTTTAGATCGTTAAGTTAAACCCCAATTTCTGATACTGAGTTTTTATTCATTGTGCATCAGACTAACTGCACAGATCTTCACCTCTCCCTTCTCTCCTTCAAATCTAATTCCCAAGTCTCACCCCCATCTTCATAGTAGACCAGATACTGCAGCTACACTCCGTTCCTTGCTCCCATCTCCAGGTAGATCTGTTCTAACCATCCTCCCAACTCATGACATTATCCCAGCACCCAGCTCTAGCAGGAGTTCTCTGGAAACTTGCCAGCCAAGCCTGCCAGAGAAGCAAGTAGGACAGCAAAGCAGGTGGGCTAGCTTCAGATCTTCACTCTCCCCCCTCTCCTCCATATCCAGCCCCCCCAGTCTCATTCTCACTCCTGTTCTCCTCATTATTTCCCCCCATTCTTAGTTGAGTAAATGATCCTGATGGGATATCTTGTTTTCTTCCCTCCTATGGATCACCTCAGCCATTCCCCATTCTTAAGTATCAAGTTTCAATACTTAGAAACACATTTTTACCCAGAAACTCAAGGGAAAATACCAGAATCCATACCAGGTAACACACATCCACCCCACCCTTCTAGGGATCAGAGAGGGCAACAGATACTAAGGAACAAAACACCCACCAGACAATAATAAGACAAGATATCGGCACCTAGAATAATAACATTCCCAACCCAGATGTCTAAATGTCAACATAAAACTCCAATCAATAACAAATAGTACAATATGTTCCACTAGAGCCTAGCAACCCTACCATAATAGTCAACATAGTTGAAGCACAACAAAAAGACCTTAAAACATCCTTTATGAATATGGTAGTNTGTGTAAATTTAAACTAAAATTATCAGGTACTTTTCTAAGAAAAGCAATCCCAATATTTCAAAAACAGAACAGTTTCCATTTGCTTATGACTGCCAAAGAAATTAGGAAAATGCAAACTGATTATCCCAACACAGATAAAGTGATTCTAAAATAGAAAGTATATGAAGTGATAGTTTCATTATTTAGCCTGATTTAATCATTCTGTACTGTTGACATATCAAAACATTTCATTGCATTCCATAAATAGAGTTACAACTTGTCAATTATGAATGCATTTTTTTTGGACTTTTTGAGACAAGGTTTCTCTGTAGCTTTTGGTTCCTGTCCTGGAACTAGCTCTTGTAGACCAGGCTGGCCTCGAACTCACAGAGATCTGCCTGCCTCTGCCTCCCAAGTGCTGGGATTAAAGTTGTGAGCCACCACTGCCCGGCAAATAAATCCCTTAAAGAAATATATGAAAACACAAACAAACAGTAGAAGGAAATGAATGAAATAGTGCAGGGCCTGAAGAAAGTAGAAATAGAATCAATAAAGAAACACAAGCTGAGAGAAATATGGAAATTAAAAAATTCTGAGCTCAAACATGAATCTCAGTGGCAAGCCTCACCAAAAGAATACAGGAGATGGAAAAAAGAATCTCAGGCATTGAAGACATGATAGAAGAACTGGATAACTTGGGTAAAGAAAATGCTAAATCTAAAAATATCCTGGCACAAAAACTCTAGGAAATCAGAGACACTATTTGAAAACCAAATCTAAGAATAATAGGACTAGAGGAAGGAGAAGAAATACAGGTCAAAGGCACAGAAAATATTTTTCAATGTTTATAGAAAATAATTTTCCTAACATAAAGAAGTAGATGCTTATATAGGTACAAGAAGCACACAGAACACCAAATAGACTGAACCAGAAATAAAGTCCCTTTGGCATATAATAATCAATATGCTAAACATACAGAAAGATAAAAGAATATCAAAAGGTGCAAAGGAAAAAGATGAAGTAACCCTAAAAAATTCCATCAGGATACTCATAATGTTGATAAACACTTTCAGCAAAGTAGCTAGATGTAAAATTAACAAATATCAGTTTCCCTCCTACGTACAAATGACAAACAGTTTGGAAAAGAAACAACACCATTTACAATAGTCTCAGATAATGTAAAACATGTTAGGGGATCTCCAATGAAACAAATGTAAGACCCAGATTTTAAAAAAAAATAAGACATAGTAAGTCTTTTTGCACTTGTGCTTTTGATGCCACATGTGTACTTTGACTTGGATCTGCCTCATTCCTTGACTTTGGACCATGTAAAGGAGAGTCCCTGCCCTGGTTGAACCCTTCCACTTTCTACACTGACCAATCCCAACCTGCTCAGCTCAACCTGCACAGCTCAGTAGCTCAAGTGTCCTGTCATCCCAAAGAACAGCTAGGCTAACAGTGTGACAATGTCAAAATATACTTTTTTGATCCAGTAAAAGTGAAAGAAACAAGGTATAAATTTCATGTACAACTGTATGTAAATATGTCAAGGGGAAGTCACAGAAGGTGATTTTCAATTCAATATTTTAAAATTATCATTATTGTATTGGTATTGTTCTAATGTCTATTCTAAAATAGTTCAAAAATGTGTTTTATGCAACTACTTTCACTCAAAATTGGGGTCACTCATTATCTTTAATTTTACCAGTAGATTTGCATAAGCTCCTTTTGCCTTGCCTAGAGACTAGGAAAGAGCAATTTAGATTCCTTTGACAACAGAAGAAAAAGAATGCAAATGACCCTCCTCTCTTCAACTCACTTTTCACAGTTGGAGGAGAAATAATAGGTTCTTCTATGGGAAATGTCAGATTGCTATTCTGATCCAGGACAAAAACTCCTGTTTAACTCTATAGAAAGTATATTTTCCCCAGATTTTCAAACACTATAAAAATTTCTATTTGGGGTTGTACAGCAAGCACTGTGCTGAGTCAAATAACTGCAATCTTCCAAAGACCAGCTGGGTCTACTTGCAAAACACCCTCCCAGCTGGGCTTGTTTGACTAGCATTCTCTGCTAACAGGAGTGGTGGAGAGAGTGTTTTAAAAGACTCTCCCCAGAGGATCCAGCCACTCTTCCTGAGCTTGTGTATATAATAACTCTACCCTAACTGCATGGGGTCTTGGATGCTTGAGGAGGGGCTAGAGTATATAAGTTGGGAGAACTAGGGGAAGAGTACACCATCCACTCATCTGACAGGCCATCATCCATGCTAGGCACAGATTTTCCAGTGTGTTTGCTTTGGAGCTTTGGAGTCACCCATCCTGCTGCACATAACCCCTCACCCAGGCTCCAGAGGTCAATAAACTTCAGTGGAACTGAACTTTGCTTGCCATTGGACCTTAGAAGAGGGGTGGCATAAAGTTTTAAGGCTAAGACTACAGTTAAGACAAGGATAGAAATAGGGCCTGATCTGTGCCACCCTGGCTTCTGGTACTTTCTTTCCCTATTACCCTCTGGGAGTATACAAGATACAACACTTGACTTGGACAAGAAAGAACTGTCACCTGTAGCTTATGAACAGTTCATTATAACCCAGAGGTAATGTGGCTAATATTGTTTAGGTGTCACTAGTGGGGATCAAATGTCCCCACTGCTCACTGGGATAATCAACATTCTCTTCCATTTTGAAATTTTCTAACCCTTTTGTGTTTCTTACTAAACAGCTTTCAGATGATATTGGGTTGAATTAACTCCAGCCGAAGGTATTTAGTGTGACAGAGTGATTTCTAAAGATCAGTTTCATTGTGAAGCTGAAGTTGATGAGAATTACTACAAATGTCAAAAAATGAAAGCCTAAAATCCTGCCAATTATATGTGCAGAGAACAAACCCACCAGGAACAAGAGGCAGTAAGAGCTTTGTCACAAACCCAGGGAAACAAAAACATGTTCTTCAGCACATGTTGACAAGGTTTCCCCTCCAGGGGAATAACAGAGAGTGCCCATGTTTGCTTAAAGTGTCACTTGTATGTCTTTATAGAACTGAAGGCATGGTCCCTGACTGACTGACCCTTTCTTGCAGGCACCCACACCCCCATGGTCCCTGACTGACTGAGCCTGCCTTGCAGGCACCCACATTCCAGGAGCAAATTGCACAGGAGCAGCTGGTTTGTACTACCCAGAAAACCATTTCTGGGCCTGAATTTTGCCCAGTTAGAAAGAAAGAGGAAATAACACATTTTGGGGTTTTGCTTTCTTTGGTTGATTGTTTTGAAACAGCATCATGTTATAGAGCCCCGGTTAGCCTAGAGCTCACTCTATAGCCAAAGCTAGCCTTGAAATGCTGGCAATCTTTCTGCTTCTGCCTCCTGGATGCTAGAATTGCAGATGTGTATCATCATCTGTGTAGATGAAATTTGAATATTAGATATAATCTACACAATTATTTCTGTGTTTAAAAGCCATGTCTCTTAATAGATGGTTGGAATTATTTTGTTTCTGTCTTTGACTTAGTCAGAGCTTCCTCATGGTATTAGAGGTAAGCCTACATTTATACAGCCAGAAGTAGTTAAATATTCACAACTGTACAGTAGCTATTGTTTGAGTTCTAGCAGTTTCCTCGAATCTATAACTGGTTAAACACCAGAGGATTCGGTTCTCTCCTGACATCTAGTGTTACTCATGTATTCCTACAAGATATCTGTTAAGCTAGTGTCAATGAAGAAATTTTATATGAATAAAAACTTTATACTCTTCAGTATAAAATAATTTCAATAAGACGAATACAAGTCCAAGGAATAGTCAACAAAGTGCTGCTTTTGAGGAGGTATAGACTTACTTCCTTCTTTCCCTCCCTCCCTTTTCCCCTCCCTCCTTCTTGTCAACTTTTCCACCAACCTAAGCAGATCTTGTCTGCTGGACCTGGGGTCTGAGGAACTGGGAAGACCGCAGTCTAAAGCTGTAAGTTTCAGTGTACTTTTATAAATGAATGAAATGCAGAAAGTAATGGTTTCAAGACTATTGTTTGGATTTAGAAAAACATGTAAATAAATGTCAGTAAGCACATACTAAATATTAACAAAGCAGCCCTTCCCCAGAACCTTCTTAGGACAAACAATTTAAACACAATGCCCTCATACTGGATCACCTAGCCCAGCCTTAATACATGGGGA